TTATATTTTTTATTTTTTTATAAAAGTTTAAAGAATTATTAGTTTTCGGTTGCTGATTTAAGGATTCCTGCACTGTATTAGAATCAAACAAATTAATTTTATAATTTTTATTAATACAAATCTTTTCAAAACCTAGAATGCATATTATAAATAAAAGGTGTATATGAATTTCAAATTCTGTTTTGTAATATCAACCCATATACTCAAGGTCTGTTAACGTTAATGATTTTAAATTTGGCGAAATGTAACAGGTCCGGGTCTCGTATACAGCCAAGTCTTTGAAAATAATACAAAAAATTCACTACTAGTATTAGGGTTGAGCGAAATTTGATTTGACCGGATAGCGAAATTTTTGTTAGGTTGCGTTAATAAAGTAGAAGTAGTATACTCTGGAGTCACTCCGGGTTGAACCCAATCCAAGTTGGAGTGGGTTTAAAAAATGCCTATAAATTTGGAGTAACCCGGAATAGAATCTGGGGCAAGTCTAATTTAATAGAGTGGGTTGAAGATTGGATTAGTCCAATCCAATATATTAACAACCCTAGTTGATAATGCTAGGGTGGTTATTAAAGGCAATCAAATTTTGGACTAAAAACTTGGCAGATATTATTTATTAGTAAAATTAGACCAACCTTATCAATTTTTTTACAACATTTTGTCGCTTTTATTCGGTAATATACGGTACATAAATTTAAACTTTGATAAATAGAGATAGTAGTTTCTTTAGAGTGAGTTAAAAAAATAACATTTTTTGTCAAAATATAAGGTATAAGATGATACATAATTTAACCATTACTTGAATCTCTTTTAACAAATAATACAATAATTTGTAACATCAGAGACAAAAGTATCAAACCACCCTATATTGATTGGTTCTCCAGGGAATCCGAATTCCACATATAAACAACCAACAGTTGGTTTATCTGGGGTACATCTTAGTTGATATTTTTTCATTAAGTTGATAATTGCTGGTTTTAATTTAGCCAAACCACTTGAATGCTTTCCACGCCCAACAATTATAACTAAATGATCAATTTTATTAGCTTTACAATATTGAATACGTGATTCGGTCTTATCCATTGCTTCTTTTACATATAGTCCGTGAAGGTCAATTTCAGTTATTGGTCGACCTTTATTATTTTCTGTTTTTAAAATAATTACATGCCGATACGGTTAAAAATTGTCAAATAAAAATAGATAAATAAATAAATGAACAATTAATTTACCACTAAATATTACTTCGACAGCCATGCTATTATATATTTCCATTTTTTTCGCATGTTCTTTTCCTTTTATTGATAATTCTTTTGCTTTTCGTTTTTCATTATTTTTAAAGGCCTCCTGAGATTGAGCAAAATAATCGTTACGATGTTGTGCTTCATCATGTGCTAATTTTCGATATTTCTGATACTCTTCTTCCGCCAACTCACTTGATGATTGTGTTTGTCCCATGGTTTTATTTACAGACTCATTTGATGATAGTGTTTGTCCCATATTTCTATTTACAAACTCGATAAATACGATAAATAAGTTGATCAAGATGAGTAGTTTTTCTATTTTTCGCTTTGAAAAAAGTTCAAGAGGGAAATGGAGGGTTAATATACGTTTATTAAAGTCAGTGGCAGCATTCCACCTAATGCATATATATTCATTCACGTACCAACGTACGTAAGTATGTACGTTGTGTATTTGAAACACTTTATTATGTATTATTTCCGATTGAAGTCATATATATTTAGATAATTGTTTTGTTTGACAATTCTGTTGCCTTGTGTATTCATATCACCCAATTGGTATCCCCCGCCGAGACTTTGTAAATACTTAATGGACTACTGATTAGAACAAAGATACTCTTTAAACCTAGGCCATTTAAATTAAACTTTTAACAATTAGAATAGGATTTAGTGTGAAACTATAGAGTTTTTAATCGAAACGAATATACGCATTTTATATAAAGATATTACTGTACTCGTATATGTATGTACGTACATAATACGTATGTATGTACTGTACAATGCATATCAATATCTATTAAAGTCGTTAATGTAAATTTCAGGTGATCACACGGTATCATCTCGTTATTAGGATAATCTCAACGCCTTTTGTTCATTTATACAATGTTCATATTGCCTAAATTATAAATATAAATATAACTATAGTCATTGGGTTATAATTTAGGTAAATCGAACTAATTTTGACCCCATTTATAGCACAAATTAATGACTCTTTCATGTGACATAGAATGCCGTGAGACTTCCACGAAATTGCCTAGAATAGTGCCAATAGATTCGGCCGCAAGACTTCAATTACATAAGTGAATTAACCTATATTAATCTATTAATCACTTGTCATTATACAATTCTAGCAACAAATAAGCACCAATTCGAATAATTTAATGGATCAATCATCATGATTGACTTTTTCAAATGTCTTTAATAATTCGTTTACATTATTTACACAAATTAACATCATCCTGCACTTCTAACGTTAATCTCAAATACAAAACAGTGATTTCTTAGTATACGATATTTTTCTTATGTAAAAAAAAAAAAAAAAAGGAAAAAAAAAACGAAAAAAATATATACCGATGCAGTAATAACAATATAAGTTTTTTTTTTTTTTTTTGTAATCACCTTTTGCATTGCTTTCAAACTATTAAGATTATTAGACCATATGTAACTAACATCTAAATATCGATATCTAACCGTTTTATATGCGTAATGATGTCTGGTGTTTAAACATCTACTATTTACAATTTAAAAGAGAAAAAAAAAAAAAGATTCATATTTTAACGAAATTTATATCAGATTAATATCGAAAACTATTTCAAAAAAATCAATTTCCATTGTGTGATGACCGCTTTTGCCTAATTTTTCAGTAAATTAATAATAGCTGTTAGAAACCCAATTACAAAAATGACCAATTCTCATCTCTTTATATGAATGTTACGTTCGTTATCATTCACCCAACGAACCCACGCATCAACATATCCCTTTTCAAGCTCTTTAACAGCTTGCTGTGTATCAAAAAGACGAATGTTTTCTCGGTTTAAATATATATTTTTTCTCAATTCAATCAATTCACCGAAACCATTTCGATGAAGACGTTGTTGTGCTCCCGGTAATAAACATCCAAACCAGTATTTATATACCACTGAATTTGCGTATTCTACTGCTTTGTCTTCATACGCCTGATAATCAGGTACCACCATTTTATCACCAAATCCTGTCGCGTTACATATAGAGGAAGCCACTCTAGAACACATCTTGTGTTCAGGTCCTGAAAGTGTAATCATCGGTGTTCCAGACCAGAGAATATCGCATGCTGTTGTGTGCGCATTCACTTGTGGCGTATCAAGAATCAAATCGGCTATTCTTCCTCTCATAACGTGTTGTTTCTTATCCGCTACGTCTGTGAAATATATGTGACTTGCAATATTTGGACCCGCCCATTGCTTTGCAGTTTCTAAAAGATTCTTTGCACCCTCTTCTGGAAAGTTTAGTATCCACAAGATAGACTTCGGTACTCTTTCCAAAATTCGTAACCATAATTTAAAAATTACCGGATCAATCTAAACCATTAATTTAACGATTAACAATAATTAGTTTAAATATATTATACTAAATAATATTAATTAAATGTTAAAAATGATAATATACCTTATATAGTTGATTAAAATTGGCAAAGATAACCCAATCATCAGTTAAATTTGGAAAAAGTTGTTTACGCATATCCCATCGACGATCCTCCTCAAAAAACCATCTTAATATATGATTTTTTGCAAGTATACATCCAGGAATGCTCTCATCATAAAATCCTTTAGAAATATTATCATCATAGAATCCTTGTTTATGATCATTAATAAAGTAAGTAGTCGGCATATAAATTATCTTTTCTGGGTATGTCCAATTTTTATCGTCTTCTTCAGGATCCACTTCACCCAATAAATCACCATCATTATCACGACTTTTATTCCAAAATTGAAAGTCGCTGGTCTGAGATTCCGGACATACATGTTCATCAACTATATTATAGTCAGTCCTAATAAAATAAAATAAATAAAATAAATAAAATAAAATAAAATCTCTAAGAACATTTATAAAATAATATGACAAGCACTATA